ATTCGCCTACGGGTGCCAAAAAGTTCAAACTTTGATTCATCAGTCCATAGAACATTTTTCCATTGTTCCAATGTCCAATTTCGATGCTGCTGGGCCCATTGTAGACGTTTCTTTTTATTTATAGGACGCAGTAAAGGTTTTTTGACTGCCACACGGCCTTTGAGGCCTGCATTTCTCAAACGTTGTTTTACTGTAGTGAGAGAGACCGCGTTATCACGGCTTCTGTTCACTTCTGCACGGATTTCAAATGCTGTTAATCGTCTATTTCGCTTGCTTGTAACCACCATATACTGATCCTCTTGAAAAGTGGTTACTTTTGGGCGTCCTGAGCGAGTACGGTCAACCAGACTATCGGATGTCTTGTAGCGCGCTATGGTAGTTTGGACACCCTTCAGCGACACTTTTATTTTTTGCAATAATTCTATATGACTGACCTTCTTTGTATAAAGTTACGATAGCACTTCTCTTATCAATCGAAATTTCTTTAGATTTTGCCATGTTTTCTATAAAATTATCAATTTACAAAGCCAGTATCAATACACTTGTTAAAGCTTCGCTGTCGTTTTCACTATTAAGGTTTATCTGCTTTAGCATACACAAACAAGTCCGCAACGCACTTCAAAGTGTTTATATTATCGCAAGCAAAACATAAACACAAGTAGTTACTTACAGAAATTCGAGTACGTACGAAGAACTTTTTTCAAGTGTTTCAATAAATATGCACACTACTCAAATTTAATTAATTTACCTCTCTGGTACATTTAGACCTAGGCATATATGCATTTTCTAAATACCTAATAGGATAATAAACGCGATAAGTATAAAAGAAAATACTATAGAAGAGAAAAATTCCGTTTAAGCACATTTAAATGCTGCTTAGAACAGTGTATCCAAACTTTTCGCCTGGAGTGTACCTGCTTATCCGATTTCAAAATTGATAAAAGCGATTTCTAATTTATTATTTACATTGACTGAGCACTTCTTTCTGTTAACAATATAGTAAAGAAATTAACAGAGGGCGACACATAATTTCGTTTATCGTGCGTTTTAGTTTTTTATTCTCCCTTGGGAAATGAATATACAATTAATTTAAGTTTTACGAACAATATCTGCTAATTAAACAGCTACTAAAGGTAATTTTACGTTTAATTTCACATTCTTAATTAAATTTATAACCATTTTTAATCAAGATATATACTTATGGTAATTATTAAAAATCGCTACCTCATCTCCAATTTTGATAAATTTATGCTCATTCGACGTGTTTTTGTCCAAAATAAAAGAATTTCACAGAAAAAAGTGTCGCTCTGCCCCACGCGAGATATGAATAGAAGTTAGTTACTTCTTAGCTCAGCGGTAAATGGGCGAGAGGACAAGGAGTGGGAGAATGGAGCGAAATTGGCGCAGACGTGAAAATACTCACGTTTATAGTGCCTTACTTATACACGGTACATATTCCCAAGATCTATAGAGAGAAGGTTACCTCAGGCAAATCGGTTGTAGGCGAGGGGCGACGAAGGAAGGGGAGAGCATGATGATCTCATCGACTAACAGTAGCTGTCTCTCTCGCACGCTTTAGTGTTTTCTCTCTCGCTCCTTTAATATAGAAATGCTTTGAGTTTTTATCGAAAAAATACTTTTATTTTGTAAAATATTGATAGCACTGGAAATTGCGTAATAAAAATTGAAAAGTAAATTAGAAAGGCGCTATAAATTACATATATTGCAAATTATAGCGCTAGATATTTAACGTTTATAATGTTAAATATCGCTGCAACAGATGCATTTGTGATACAAATTGCTTTGTACTCGTATTTAGACTGTAATATCAATGAAAATAAAATATAATTTGGGGATATACACAAAAAACATCATTTGTAAAGTAGTCAAATAAAAGAAAAAATAGTACATATTTAAAAATTATTTTTAAAATAATATTTACTGTTTATATGCATTATTTACAAAAGAAATACTATAAAGAAATTTATTTTTATATTTAATTGTGAAAACCTCAAAAATTGTCAAGAAATTGTAACTGAAATTCATAAATGTAAGTACAATTCTAAGATAATATAAAAAGCATCATACACAAATTTATTATGATACAAACTTAAATAATGAAATTGTAATATATGTTTCAATATTGCAAATGTGAATATATTTATATGATAAAATTTACAAAGTGTTAACAATTTTCAAATATTTGCTAATAAAATATTATTGAAATGTTTCTGTTGAAATCTTAAAATAATTCTTTAAAACAAATATGATGGGGTATATATTAGGGATCATTAAATATGCGGCAACATTGTTATAAAATTTTATAAGTATCTATAATAAAAATTAAGTATAATAAACATAATAAGTATATAAGTATAATAATAAAATTTTTATAAGTATCCATAATAATAAAAATACATATATGTTGCATTAATCTGTTAATATAAGAAATTTATTTGCGTTAAATTAATTAATAATTTTATATTAACAGATTAATACAACA